GGGGCTGGACAGGGCAATGATGAAGTGGGGCTCGGGGGGGGCTGGGGCAGGCAAATTTGCAGCGTGGGGAACATTTTCTTGTTCCTGCATGTGCCTCTTGCAGCATCTCAAAGGGCTTTGAGACGCTGCAAGACACATGTGCGTGCTTGTCTGGATGTGCCCAAAGAGTTCAAATACAAATCCATAATGTCAAAATCATTCTGACCTCTTGTGGGCTTTGTGAGGTCTTTGCAACAGAAGAATTGCTCTATTATTGTTCTGTCGTCAAAGAAAACAAGTGACAAGCTTCTGAGATGGGGTGCCACCAGATTCATTAAAGTTCTGGAGGGGACCCGGAGATCAGAATCACCGCCTTCGAGTAACTCCGAGGACACACCATTAGGCACACCCAAAGCAGACAGCTTAGCTTTACTGTAGCCTGTTCTACACCTCATTGTTTCCCCACCCCTGCAAAGATCTGTGATCATCACTGTGACCCCGTGAATGGCAGCAGAGGTGTCCCATTTCCAGGGTTTCCTCTTCACAATGTAATCATCAAGGAGAAAGGTAATGCTGCTGGAGCTGCAGTCCCCCAAATCTACTATACCCTGACATGAAATTAAAAGGGAAGCTGCTGAAAGATAGTTCTGAGGTGGGACAAAAGTATTGAGGTTCAGAGGCACAATTTGCAGAGCAGGAACTGGCCTCTGTGTGTGTGCGTGTGTGAAAGAGAGAGACAGCAAGAGAAGGGCAATTTTAATGATCTCTTGTCAGCAATACTGAGTATGGCATTTGAGTTTCACAAGAGGAATACAGAAGTGGAAGCTTGGGTCCTCTGTGAAATAAAAGGCATCAAAAGATGAAGGGGCGGTTGCAGAGTAAAGATTCAGGCAGCTGCAATCCAGCGCCACATGCTAAAATACTTCTGAAGAAAGGATTGTTCTACATTATTAATGGGTCTGATGATTTATTTAGAAAACCGTGCTTGGCTGCTTATGAAATATGTTAAACACCCATCTTTCAAAATAATAAGAGGCAACGATAAAGGCAATATGGAAGGATGGTAGCTGTCTCATACTTTCAGAGTATCCACCTCATTCTTGAATAAATCATTCATTATCCCAACTTTATCTAATGCCTAAGGGCACAGCCTCTAGCAGGTGATATAATGCAGCTTCCTACAAGACCATTTTCACAATTCAACTGGATAAAATTATTCTCAACAAGGCCAAGATTTTTTCTACATTTCTGACTGTTACGTTGTATGCTTTTCTTTGAAAATGATGTGTTTTTCTATAGCATGATGATGCTTTTGTGCTCTCTTTGCACTGCACCTGTAAATGTGTAGTTACTTTTGCATATGTAACTTCAAATTAACCAACAGCTGCAAAAGAAAATTCAAATCATGTCTGCAAGACCTGGGGACATCTTCACTGCATTGGCAAGAGCCTCCAGCCATGCAGGCCATAAGAACACATACAGAGTTGCATGCTCAGAAGCAGGACTCCTGATTAGCAGTAGGCACTTTTACAATGTGCTGAAAGAACAGAAAACCGATGTGGGGGGTTTTCAGTCTTTTCTTCTGCTACAGTAAAAAACCTGGCCTGGTTCTCATCCTACTTGCATTTCTGTTCATCAGGTTGCAACATCCTAGACGTTAGTTTCATTCCTACACAATGGAAATGGAAAACAGAGCTTGCTGTCTTCTAGACACTACAGTAAACTTGTCCAGTTAGCAAAAGGACTCGGTGTTGGATGCTCCAATGCTGCGAAGTCTTAGGCACATGCTTAGCTCTATACCCTGTTCACTGCAGCCATGTGCATTGAGTCTTAGGGCTGAAAGAGACATCATGAGTCATCTAGTCTAACCCCTGCACACAGTTATGCACACATATAGGTCTCTGCAGACCTCCTATACAGGAGACAGGGTTTGGGGATTCTAGGTCTTCATATCATTCAAGAATTTAGAGAAAGGACATTGAAACAAAAATTTATTTTGGCAGCTGAACTACCTAAACCAGTCAGCATGATGGGAGGTATACATCATTCCCAAAGAGAAATGTTATTGGGTGAAATTCTGTCAGGAAAAACATTTTTACGTACAGCAGGGAAAGTTCTTTAAGTTACTGCCCATAATCAAATCCACTGTACATAGTGGAAACCTTTGGGGACAGCGACTTGTTGTCTTACACATTTCCCTTCCAATAAAATAGAATTTTTTGGAGCAAACTAGCAGGTTTTCTTGAAAACCCACAAACTCAAAAGTGTTGGTGAACTCTGCAAACTGTTTGCTGTATTGTTGCAAAATGAGAGTCCTGCAAGTGCAACTTGCTCTGGCAGGATGTGTTACTTCTATCACAAGATACAGGACACTTGCACTCCTATTACCTTATTTGTTCTGTTAGAGAAGAATGTACTTTCCCATGAGATCAATCATGTATCCTGCATAAGTCTTAAAATTCCCTTAGGGAGCAGGGAGGGAAGTAGCAAAGAGGAGTTAGAAACCTACCTGCAAACAGCATCCTTCCCGTTAGCATTTCCGCCAGGATGCAGCCTGCAGCCCACATATCAATTGCTTTGGTGTAGTTGTTCGGGGAGAGAAGCAGGCGTGGAGACCGGTACCATTTTGTTACTAAGCCTTCAGAAAGATAACCCTGGAAGATTAAAAACATCCACATATAAATCACCTTGAAAGGCAGTTCATTCAACCTGCCCCTTAGCATTCAAAATACACAGCTTGGAAAGTGCTTCAGTTATCCTGTCCTGGTAATTTCCTCCCAACATATCTTCTTTTTTTTTTCTTCTAAAAATACTGTGAAAAGCAGGACTGCCAAGAAAGATGATTGAGACTGTAGGTAGCATCAAACTGTTCTGTCCTTACTGTGCCTGATTGGAAATAGTGAATTCAGTGAAGCTGAAGTACCTAAAGCACAAGCATGTGTGCACATACCTGCACACATACACACACTAATTTGCAGAGTGCATGTGACTGCATTCATCATATACCTTTGACACCTTCACCTTCCCTCTGAAAACTAAGCCTTTGCCACTGAAACCATCACTAACATTGCACATGCCCTGACAGGTAGCTTTAATGATAGCTGGACAGGTGAACAACTGCATTTACTCTGGCTGTCTGGCAAGTGACTGTATCCCCAGCGAACAAAAATCAAATCATTCTCTTATTCTTGTTGCCAGTTCTCCCTCTCAGTCCCTACCTGTGGTCATTGTGTCCTTCACTGGTAGACCACAAGCTTTTTGGGATGTGGACTGGCATTCAATATGAGCCAGACATTCAGAAGAGCTCCATACCCACAACTGGAGCTGGGTGAAAACACCCAGTACAGTGCATGTGCATGTCAAGCTCTTGAAAATCTAGAGTTGTGTATTGATGTGTCACCCAATGCAATGGAGTTCCAGCCTGACTCAGACCTTTCAGTGCTGTTGCAATGTAAAAACATTAAGATATGAATAGGTTTTCTTCTAGACACTTCCTATCAAGGGTGGAAATTCACCGTAAATGCCACTAGCTGAATGACTATGCATTAGGGCCACATTGATTGCAACTAGAGTAGGAGAGCCACATTTGATTCTTGCCCCTTGGGGAATACTGGCTAAGGGCCATGTTTTCAAAAGAGCTAAAGCTCTTATTTAGATACTGAAGACCATATTTCCCTCCAATAATGCTCAGCAGCCTGCAGCTCCTCTTGTGACACAGTGCCACACTCTCAGAGGAGCACCAAACTCAAACTCCTGAGAAGCTCTGAATATCTAGCCCCTGCCCAGATGCATGGACCTTTGGTCATTCTGGCCCCATTTTTACCATTTCTGAGTTCTGGCTAATGAACTACTTTCTTCTGTCAGCGCCCAGTGCTTGAAGTCCTGGGTTCGACTGGCATTGGGATACGAAGGCGTGGGTGACAATACTTTGGCTCCCGGATCTTTATTCAGGCAGTCAAAGAAGTGGCTTGGCTTTAGAAAAGTCTAACACTCAACAGGTCCCCTTGACTTCTCAGTCACACTCAGTCACCACCTGGACAGAGTACATATCAGTATGAGTACATATGAAATCTGATGAAATAGGCTGTTTTCTATGAAAGCTCATACCCCTCTGGACCAATTAGTCTCAAAGGTATTACCTGCTCTATGTCACTGAAGGCCACATAAGGACCTCAGCCTCTGATTCAATCAACAGAGAGATGCTATGGAAGATCCCGATAATATCTAGATACCCAAAATGTGTTACCATTATTAAACCTCTTCACAATGACATGACAACAAACGCCCAAAGCAATGGCTCAGAAATGGACCCCTTCACTATTACAACTCAAATCAAGCAAGGATATGTGATTGCACCAACACACTTTTCTCTCTACATCACAACTATTCTGCACCTCACTGCTGATAGACTTCCATCTGAAGTCAGTATCCAGTATCACATGGACAGAAATCTCTTTAACATCAACCAGTTATGGTCCAAATCCAAGGTAACTAACACCTCCATTACTGATCTTCAATACACTGGTGAGTGTGTTGTGTGTGCTCACTCAATTTAAGAGCTCCAAGGCACTTGATTGCTTCTGTGAACTGAATGAAATGCTTGGACTCACTATCAACTTCACAGAAACCAAGATCTTTTACCAACCCACCCCAAACCAACTAGCAGCTTCTTTACATATTACAATTAGAGGGGAATCCTTGAAGAATGTTAAGCATTTCCCCTACCTGTATAGGCAGCTTTCCCAAACATAGACAACACTGGATAAAATCTGCCAATGCTGACTTTGGATGTCTCCAAAATCATGTCGTCAAGGCAGCCAGATCCAAAACAAACTTCTTGTCTACTAGCCTGTTGTCATTCCTACCCTGTTGTACAGGTGTAAAACTTGGACAACATATTGAAAATACCTGAAATCTTTGAAATGTTACTGTTAACAATGTCTTCAGAAAATCCTCCATATTAATTGGAAGGACAGAAGAATGAATGCCAGCATTCGCCTCAATGGTGCCGTGATGTATGACAAGACATTGATCTTTTCAAACAAACTCACCTCACTACGGAAGCAGATAGATGAGCGAGAGAAACAAAGGAAAAGAGCTGTGACCCCACATCACCAGGATCTACTCCTTCCTCCCAGAACTATTTGCCACAACTGCAACTGAACATGTGGATCTCAAATTTGCTGCCTCAGTCATCTACAGATTCACTGATGACTTCCCTATTTACTGGAAGACTGTCATCCATGTATTGAGGGACTGATGATGACAATAATCCTGCCCTAACTTCTGCTTATATTAAATAATAATCACTGCATTCAAGACTGCCTCTCTTGTAACCCAGTAGTATCTTCCAGATTCCTCCATTTATTCCTATTTTGGGTGCATCCCCTCTATAATAAATTACAAGCTGAGGCTTCATTTTGGAATTGCAACACTGATGATAATTTCATAATTACTTAATACAGCTGGAAACCATGATTAGCAAGACTGTTGTGTTTTAATTCAGAGATAAGACACAGTTTTCATTATAAACAACATAGACCTAGGACAAGGATAACAGTGCCCAGCTGGAGAGGACAACAAATTACTGTGGTAGTGCCTAGAGAGCCCAATTCTGTATCGGTGAGTGATGTCTGTACATTTATGATGTTAGGTAGGAGGTATGTGCCACTAGATGGCACTCAGGAATACAAAGCCCAGAATTTCAATCTTCCATACAGCAAAGGGTACATCTTTTTACATGGAGTTTTTAACACGAGTCAGCATCCATTGTATGAGATACTGGATGACAACAGACTGTCCCTACATCAAGAAGCTCGTGATCTAAGATTCCCACATGGAAGAAGGGAGTAAACAGATAAAAGGAAGACAAGTTAACAGCAGAGATGGATTTGTATATGTTGGCAGACTAACCAATGCCAATGAATGATTTGTACAAAAAATAGAGAAATTGCAATAAGAAGTACCCAAAGCTTCAACGGATTCAAAAGGGAAGAGTGTGGTAGCTTTGCAAGGTAAAATGGGTAGACATATAGGCTACAGCAGTGGTTCCCAATTCAGTGCCTGTGGGCACCATAGCACCCTCCCCCACCCCCCGAGGTTTATTCAGGTGTGCATGCTCATTTTCACGATCAGTAAAAATCATTATTCCAACAAATAATGCTGTCACTGCCGACTGAACTCAAAACAGCAACACTTCAAAAAAAATTTTCAGAGGCTGTACACAACAGAAGTCAAACTGAGACTGAGTCAGTCTGGGGAGGGAGTCAGTCTGACTGTGGTCCTTACTACTCCCTCCCCAAACGAGACTGTGCGCGTGCACATATCCAGGATTTGGGTTTTAGGTCAGACTGGTTTATGGAACTTCTGTCCCAGATTCCATCCTGGTTCAAGTTAACTCACAGTCCCCCAGCACCCCAGGATGCTTTGCAGCCCTGGACTATACTGTCTGCTGCAGTGGAGCAGGGACTGCCTCACCCCTCTGCTCTTTAGCCTGCTTCCTGCTTGCATCTGTCAGCCCATAGGGACAGGAGGGCGGGGAACAGACCCCCAGACTCTGCTCACTGGGGTCTACACAGCATGTGGGGGGAGGGAAAGCCACTGTGGTAGGGACTTTTCAACCCTTGTAGCCATCCTCCCTTCCCCTTCCCAGCTGCTGATTGCTTCAGCGGCTGCCCCAGGAGGGAGGGAGAAGTCCTCCTGGCCGGTGCCTGCCCCTGCCGCCCAGCATGGGGGCACCAGGGACCCCCCTCCTTGGAGGGCTTCCCCCCACTGAACACCGGGATCCCCCAGCCCAGGGCAGCCCCAGGGAGCTGGGGGAGTTCTTCCCCACCCCAACCCCAACCCCAGAGCTGCTTGCCTGAGCTGCTGCGAGTCTCAAGAAGTAGAGAGAAATTCTCCTGCTCCTCTGCAGCTAGTTTTGCCTCTGCTGCTGCAAGTCTGAGGCAAAGCTAGTTGCTGGGGAGTGGAAGATTTTCCCTCTGGTCCTTAAGGCTGCCCTGGGCTACCCCTGAGACTCCTAGAGGCTAAGGCAAGCAGCTGTGGGGTTGGGGTGGGGAAGAATTCCCCGGGCTGCCCAGGCTGGGGGACCCTGGGCAGGGGGAAACCTCCTGAGAGGAGGCTCCCCCAAGGTGTTCCAGCACCCAGACAGGGGGCTCCTCAACCCCCTGCGAGGAGACAGCAGAGGGTTGGGGCCACTTGGCTGGGCTGGCAATGGCCAGCAGGCTGGAAGATGTGCTCTAGCTCCTAGCTCCCCGCCTATTGGCCTGGGTCAGTGTAGGCCTCCCTCTGCCTTTCCTAATTGAAAACAAAAGGTCATTTCAGTCGGTTATCGGTTCAACCTACACAGCTTGGAGGAAACTGCAGAGATTGAATCGATTCTTTCTCAGGCTTTTTGACTGTCTGTACCCTTAGCCCTAATGCATAAGGATGGCTAGGAAAGTGCTCCTGCAAAATGTTGATTGAGGATAAGGAGAAACCAAGTCAAGAGTGCTTTAGCAGAATGCTTTGCTGGTAGGAAATGCAGTTTGACAAAAATTGACATTTTATGAGAACATGTCAATGGCAACAAAGTTTTTTGATGGAGAAGTACTGAAACAAATCAATGAAACTCTTATTTTCTTCTAACATTATAAATCATTTTATTTCAGTGCTT